CTGTGACAGTTCTGAATATGCCCATGTTAGGTATAATAATGTGTGACACTTCATTTCAGGGAAATCCCTGCCCTTTCTATAGAATTTAATGAATATGACCCTCTAATTAAAGAAACCCCATAATAAAGGAAAGTTCATACCCTGTGGGCGCTACTCTCCTGAGTATGGACTTATGCTTTGCAATAAAAGCTCTTGTATTCTCGCTACTCTCTGACTTGTCCTTAAATTCTTGGCAATGGTGCCAAGAGCCTTAACATTGCCTAGGGTTGAGGTCCTACTGCTGTCCAGACATCTCGCCTCACTGGCTGGCATCAAACCCCCATAAAAGCCATTGTTGAGGCCTCAGGGACAGGTATCCTCATAGCAGCTGCAGGCTACCCACCCAACTTATGCCTGCATGTTCCCTGTCCTCACTCAGACAGTTGCCTTCATGATTTGAAGATATTTGACTATCCACTCTAAGGACTGAAAATAACTTTTCTTCCTTGAAAACAACTGCTGTACTTTGTATTCCCCAAGAAGCAGTCCCTGAGACAAGACTGGAATGGCTGGAATGTAAGTAGCTTATTTGGGAGTAATCTCAGAAGATATTGGAAGGCGAGGGGGAGGTAAAGCAGAGAAAGGAAAAAAAACAGTAGGTGTGTGATTAAGCAAGTTGGAAGGATGGGAAACCAGAGCTTAATTCTGATGGATTTTTGGAAGTCAGCGTAGATCACGTCTCCAAGGCATCCCAATTGGAGGTGAACAAGAGCCCTCTGGAGGCTCTATCCACCAATTTCAGTCCATCATTGTTGGTTGAGGACTGCTCACGAAGGTGTTCATTATCTGGCCTTCCCAGCCCACCAGGCATCTTGCTCCAGCAGTCAAGAGAGAACCCTGAACAGAGATGCAGGGATGGCAATTGGTAGTCAGTCCAGACAGAGTACACTCCTGGCAAAGAGGCCAGGAGATACGGGCACCTACAGCATCCAATACCACATTGTGTCAAATAAAGTACCCTCAAAGGAAAGGGGATAGAATCTGGGTTAGGAGATATTGAGATTTTACGTAGAAATGTAAATAGCTTGTCAAAACTACCATGTCGCTGTTAGAATACAATTGCCTCAACCAAAGGCAACTGCAAGTGTTCAAATTTGGAATAAAGAGTGTTTATTCTTCTGATAGAATTGCTCTGGGATGTTTAAAATAAGAGTGGCTCTCTACCTTCAAGGTGTTATTAATGTTACTAGGCTGTCAATCGAGCTCTGTTTTCATTTCTTTTGTCCTAGAAGAAAATGTTCTACTTTCTCTGCACTTAAGACATATCGTTTCTCCTCACTAGTACTACAGAGAAAACTGTCCTTGTAATGCCATATCAAGTTTTTAATACTTTTGTTTTCTTTCATGTAAACACAGTTGACACTTTAAAGCTAGTTTGGTCTATATTTTCCAATGCATCAAGTCAGGGACAAAGATATTTTTAACATTAAGCCATTTCAAATTTTTTAATTTGGCTGCCATTGGTTCATGTACTCATTCAATCAACAACCCATTCTGGAACATTTATTGAGTCATTTGTTAAAGGTAGAATGGGGGTGTTAAATAAGCTATCATTTCTGCCTTTAGGGATTTTAAAGAATAATTGTGTTGCAGAGAGCATTTGCTATTTTGGGTCTGTGCAGCATCTTTCCCGCCTTTTTGGTGATGGTACCCTCACCTGTTTGAAGAGAACCTTCCCCTCCCCTGCTCAATACATAGGGTCCCCAACACAATTACAATGCTGAGATACATAACTCAGACTGGTCTGTCAGTTCACTGAATCCTCTAAGACAGTGACTTATTCAAAGATGACCACACAATCAAGCTTATTCTATCAAAAGGAATTACAAGGCTTATTTGAGAATTTCGGGAAGTGGGGCTTTTTTCTTCTTTAGTTAAACTTGAACTGAGAACAGTCTAAGCTGGAGATGCTGCAGTCATCTTACTCCCATGAGAGGAAAGGCTGGCTGAGCGCATAGCCAGTACAGACAACAGGGAGCTGAAGGATGAAGAGATGGAAATGGAATCTCAATGACATTGTACTGTTGACCAGACATTCACCTCTGCTTTGACATTTTGGGGATAGGACCCAATAATTTCCTTTTAAAGACTAGGCCAGATAGCACTAGTTTTTGTGGCAAAGAGAAAAAGGCCTAGCCAATTCAAGATGAAATAAGATGTTTTTTACTAATGAAGAATTTTAAGTGTCCATCAATTTCATGATACATGTAACGTAGCCACTGAGAGATTGTCCTTAGGTGGTAATGACAGAAATATAGAGTACAGGGACCACAGAGATATTATTATTGATCTTGATCTTGACTGGTCAGGCTTCATCTAGAATATATACCAATTCTGGGTACATCACCAGATAGAAGATACTCAGAAATGAGAGAACAGAATGAAGTAGCTTCTGAAAACTATGCCATAAGACAAATTGAAATGCTTGAGGTATATATCTCAAAGATTTAAAAAAAAAAAAACAGAAGTTTTAATTCTATAGTTATTTGCACAATTTTTAAATTATCTTAAGTTTGAAGCATTTTAAGGATCACAAAATCAATATTGCCTTCCTTTAAGATGTGTTTCAAACCAGCTCTTGGCTTTTTACTTTGGCTAAGGGACTTAATATCTGACAACTTCCTTTGCTGGCCTATGAAAGTAAACCTAAAACTAGAATTTATCAATGCTACTTGAAAGTTAATTCTATTACAGGTAATAGTGGAGTATTGGATGTCGTCCATTCATCCAGTGGTGCCTGGTCTCATTAATCACCAGAGGTAACAGTGCAGAAGGAGTTCTCAAGTCAGCACAGCCAGATTCCTTAGCAAACTGATACTTGAAGGAGTAGACACTGTAATGTAATACAGCTGCCTGATCAATGCAATCACAGCTGGGCACACAGCTCTTCAATCTTTTGTAAGTAAAAAGCATATCAAGCATTAGGAGATTTATTTAACAAACATTTTGGAGTACCTAATGATCATAGAACATTGTGCTGGTAAGCTCATTGTGCAGGTATATAATTCAGCAGGATACAATTTATGCCTTTAAAGAACTTAGCAATGAGTGTAAGTGACATTGTATACCTAAGAGAAGACAAGGGGAGATCACAGAGAGCATCTAGACAACATTAATGTATCAATTCCTCTTTTATGCGCTAGACAGACATTGCTAATGAACGTGACAATCTTTCCTGTTAAGCCTAGATACAGCCTCTGAATCCTTCTCAAGACAATTCTCAAGGCAGCTTTTATTAACCAACCAGATTTTGTTCCTAAGATGAAGTCTACTTGCCACTCCTGAATTGGAGTGGCAAGATGAGATTGAATCTCATTGTAGAGATTAGGAAAGTCAGTGGAATTGGCACTAGGAGAGTAGATGGAATGTCTTTACATAGGGATTTGAGTAACTTTCTCTGCATATGGAAGAAATGACATGAGCCATGTCTGAGGTGCCAAAGAAAGAGTACTGTGGTCTGGCTAAAGTCTATAGGAGTGGAGGTAAGGCTGGAGACAGATGGCCAAAGGCATGGATGCTACACTAGTATTTGGAAGTTACTTGGAGTGCAAATAGAACCATTCACAATACTGAATCATAGAAGTGATTTTAGAAATGTCATTAGCTGGACTCTCTAGGAAAAACAAGAAGAGTTAAAAATAAATTTAAAAAAGAGAAGTTATATAGTCAAAACATAGCAGGAAGAGGGTATGAAAATATAAAGAGTGAAAGTAAGTGGTGGGTGAGTCATCCTGGAGAAGAGACAGTATTGATGATGGTCCAGCCCTGGGAGTGGGAGGATGGCAAATGAGCACAGCTGAACATGACTGTGGGGTGCTGAGTGTGAGTGAAGAGAGAATGTGGTATCTTTAACTGCATTAAGCTGTTCTCATGCTGCTATAAGGACATACCTGTGACTGGACATACCTGAGACTGACACTTAATTGACTGTGAGTCAATTAAGGAAAGAGGTTTAATTGACTCCCAGTTCTGCATGACTGGGGAGGTCTCAGGAAACATATCATGGTGGAAGGGGAAGCAAACATGTCTTCTTCACAGGGTGACAGGAGAGAGAAGAATGAGAGTGGATGGTGGGGAAAGCCCCTTATAAAGGGCGCAATGGCTCACATCTGTAATCCCAGCACTTTGGGAGGCCGAGGCGGGTGGATCACGAGGTCAAGAGATCGAGACCATTCTGGTCAACATGGTGAAACCCCGTCTCTACTAAAAAATACAAAAAAAAATTAGCTGGACATGGTGGCGCGTGCCTGTAATCCCAGCTACTCAGGAGGCTGAGGCAGGAGAATTGCCTGAACCCAGGAGGCGGAGGTTGCGGTGAGCTGAGATCGCGCCATTGCACTCCAGCCTGGGTAACAAGAGCAAAACTCCGTCTCGAAAAAAAAAAATCAGATCTCATGAAAACTCACTATCAACGAGAACAGCATGAGGGTAACTGCCCCTGTGATTCAATTACCTCCCACAGGGTCCCTCCCATGACATGTGGGGATTATGGGAGATATAATTCGAGATTTGGGTAGGAACATAGCCAAACCATATCCTTAACTAATACCAGTAAGTCTGGTTCTGTTTGGAACACACTGAATATGAGGTGTGGGTAGAATACCCTGTCAACGTGTCTAGATAGAATTTTAAAATGTGGGTCTAATATTTTGGGGAAAACAGAAAGTGGAGACACAAACGTGAGAGCACAGCTACAAATAAGTAGGATCTCAGCATGGATAAGAGGGACAATGGCCAAGAGACAACTTGGAAGTAGCCTGAAGGAAGAGAGGCACACAAAGGAGGTGCATTTTTTTTTCTAAGATAATAACTCCTATACAGGGTTATAGAAAATTTTGAATCAAATAGGATTTTGTTTTGAAACAAACTCATACAACTCCGGTCCTAACTCTTGGTGTAGTCAACTAGAGACCACCATCAGAATCAATTCCTAAATCCAGGTTGCTCAGGGTGGAAAGAACTTCCTGGGACAAAGCTGTGAAGAGGCTGTTAGATCTACAAATAGCTCCCAGGTAAATTGGCATTGCAGGGCTGAGTGGAGAGAAGCATTCACTCATGCACCCCAAACATATCCATGGTACCCCTTCTGAGTCAGGTTTTGACTTGATGCTGGGAATTCAGGAGTGAATGAAACCCAAACCCTTCAAAGCCTTAAGGAGGCTGTAATTTAGCAGAGTTGATGCACATGAAAAGGTTAACAAAACCATGGTAGACAAAACAATTTGTCTGTTGAAAGAAAAGGGTAATAAGGAAAGGCTAACCAGGTCTAAGAGATTTTTCTTTGATTTTCAAGGGCCCTATACTTGACCTGGGGCCACTAAAATATGGATGGATGGATGGATGGATGGAGGATGAGTGGATGGATGGATGGATGGGTGGAAGATGGATGAATAAAGCATACATTTGTTGATAATAGTGATGTGGAATAATTGTTTACATATTGGAGTTACTATCTTTCCCCTGCTAGCTAAAACAGATAACTGGTTGAGTCTCTTTCCTTTCTAAACCCTGCAAAAAAGATGCTTCAACTCCCACAAGTCTTCTTTCCAATTTCTGATGGATTGGAAGAAAGATTAAAAGGGACAAAACAAACAAACAAACAAACAAACAAACAAACACCACAAAACAAAAAGAATCCTCCACGTACCTACTGATTTCTATGTAGTAAAACATTGAGAGTTAATGAATTATACCACTCCTACCCCTAACCTCTGCTGTATTTGGGTGGTGGGGGGGTAGGAGTATGATATCTAGCATGAGGAAGACAGTTATTTCTAGGTATGAGTTAGTAGCCCCAGAATGTTATTGAACTGATAAGCTAGGAAATGACAGGATCAGCATGTGCTTCCAAGTTCCATACAACGTCCAGGTTGAAATCAGAATCAGCTTGGATTATGCCTCTGTGATTATGTGATGAAAACACTAGCTTTCTTTGAAGTCAGAATTCAGACCCTATGACTAGTACTCATCAATGAACTGTAAATGGACACGGTAATTGTTCCTTCTATATGTAAATAAGAGCTGGTGAGCCTTCTCCGCTCTTTCTTCCCACCCTGGTGATCCAGAAATGATCTAGAAATTCTACATGTGATAATCAAGATGGAAGAGGCTACCAGAGTGAGAAATCTACCTTTGATGACTTATGCCAAGATAATATCAGGGTTTATCTGTTCTTGCAGCATAGCCTAGCATTGTTATAACACTTAACACCACTCTGACCATAAATTACTTGGGTCACAAATTCATTACGCTTATTATAGTAACGCTAAATATTTTAAGGCTTCATACTCATTTTTATACTGCTTCACCTCCCAATTCTTCACCAATCCTTCACCTCCCAATGCTTCATCAATTCTAGCCTCTAAAATATATAAGCACTCATACCCTGTTTTATTATGATACATATATATATCATACTTTTAATAAAAATGCAAGCCAGAAATTCACAGAAAATATATTAATATTCATATCATCCAAATAAATCATTGTTTTTCTTAAAGACACTGTATTGGATGATACATTTTAAACATGATTTTTATACTAACAAAACACTTAGAAAGGCAATAATAGGAGACACAATTGATATTACATCTATGTATGAATACAAAACTGACATAAAGTTTAGTATCTTGTTTTTAATACAGTCCACTTAATTTCAAAGAACATTTATAGAGGTGGCTTGGAAGATAGATCATTTTTATTTCCATAGCTTTGGGGTAAATTTTAACTACCCTCTCATTTTTTCTATTAAAAAAGATACAGAAAAAAGGGGAAAAAATGTTTTTCAAGCCTCTAGCATAAATATCAGGAACAGCCAGGAACACAAAGAAAGAAAAAAAGAAGGAAAAAAAGAAAAAGCTTTTGGCTATTATATTGTTACAATATATCAATACTGTCCCATAAAGTTTTTATGTGACCATCTCAAGATGTGATGAAAAAAAGTCCTAAGTTTAAAATAAAACTCTCCCTGTAGTTCCCTTCTAATCACTCTACATGTGATGCTATGGCAAATATTATCTCTAAATTATGAAGGAAAATAGAAGGTAGACTAAAAAAAAATGACAAAAAAAGAGCAAAAAATATTCTAAACATCATTACTCATTAAACCATTCTCCGGGTATGTAGAAAGATGATAAAATCTCTATCACCTAATGCCAAGTATTATAAAAGTCACAATTCTTTTTCTCTTTTTAAAAAATTTTTAAATTTTAAAAGTTAGTATTGGAAAAGAAATTTTTATTTTAAAAACTATTTTCAAAAAAGAATTTTTTTTTTTTCAAAATTGCATCAAGGTAAACCCAAGCCCTAGTTGATGGGGGTGTGTTATGTAGGTGTTAGCAGTACTGCCTGCATTACATACTCATTGGACACCAGTGCAACTCCAAGAAAAGAAGAGTAGCAATTACTTTTCTCTTTCCCCCTTGACCCATCCATCCCTTCATCCATCCATTCCCGCAATCATGTGCCCATTCCTCCATCTAACTCCCCTTCCATGCATTCATTCATTTCATTTGCTAAATGTTCAATTATTATGAAATGCCAAGTGCCATCCTCAAAGAATGTGGTAAACGATGATATAAATAATTTTAGAGCAAGGCTGAGGTGGACATGACACAGGAGAGACACCCAGAAAGTGCTAGAAATGGAGAAGAAGTGATCCATCTCACAGTGGATGTGAGAAGACTTAATGAAGCAGAAGTCTGAAGGTAGGTTGAAGACCTAGTGGCGGCTAGTTCAGTGCCTTACAGATGAGGCTGAAGTGGAAAGCAGTATTAATAATAAGCAACCACTCATCTCAAAGCAGGTTTCTCAGCTGCCAATGAGACTGCTAATAATTTCTTCAATCCACTCTTGAAAATCTCAGTCAATAAAGCAGGAGCAAAAGTTTTACCATTTTCTTTAAAAACAAACAAAAAAAAATACAATGCAGATTGAGGTGGTGGATTTGTCATTTGCTTTTGTCTTTGTGTGTTTTTTTTTCCCCCTGGGGTAACTGGTTCTTTAGCAGGAAGGGAGCACTGGGGAGAGTATCTTCAGGGTGGCTGAATTTTGCAATCTCTTTAATAAACAACTTCCTCTATGCAGTTTGTCCTCCTTTATCACCCCACCCCAATGCCTGGGTCTTCAGGAAATAGCATCAAGCCCATATTTCTGTAGAGTTCAGAGTTCTGTGAGGTACAGCATTCCTTCTAATAGGATCTTAGAATTCCTTGAGTTGCAGAATTTTGCTGATTAGACCCAGGAGGTCTCAGGAGCCCAAACTTGCTTAAACCTTGGTTCAAAATTCCACATGAGCTCGTAACTCCATGGGGCCCAGAGTTCCTGGCTCCAGAACATTGGAAGGCCTGGGATGCAGTGGCTTAGCCTCAAGCAGAAAGGTGAACAATGTCTTTATGGCTTAAAGGTATACGAAATAATGTCACAACATCGGAGCAGCGCCTCTGCTTGCACACCTATGGGCGTCTGCAGCTGTGACACGTAGAAGTTGGCCACGTCCAGATTGGTGGCTCCAAAGTGGGCAGCCACATGCACACCCTCGTGCAATGCGAAGCTCACCTGACGACCCACCATGGCCAGCAGGCTTCGGAGGTATCGCTCCGGAAGGGCGGCTTGGGCCCGCTGCTTCTGGGATTCCTGGGATTCTTGAGCTATGGGGCACTCCTGGATTTGAGGAACCTCTGGCTTCAGGGGAGCTCTCCGTCCATCACGGGCAAAGCCACGGCTGAAGCCACCAGGGCCCCGGGGCAGCCGGAGCACAGGCACAGGAATGGTCACTGGAGTCCGCATTGTCTTGGCTCAGGCGCGATGCCTTCCTGGGCCCTTGCACTTTTGGTTCCCTGTATCTCCTCTCCGTGAACTTCAGGGTGGCCACGGTGCTTTTCCACTGCTAGATGTCCAGCTCCCAGAACACTGCCTCCCTCCTGGTGGCCTCGGTGCTCCAGAGATGAGATCAGCTCAGTGGACAAACATTGGTCCAATTCTTCACAATTGCCAGAGTGGGGAAGCAGCCGAGTTATCCGGTTAACAGAGAAGCCTCCAGACCTCCAGACTCAGACCGGGCCAGCGATTCCGCTCTAGGTAAAGCGGGATGAGTGCCACCGACGCTGCTTTACCGTGGCCATTTATTATTTTCCCGAGGGGGAGTTTTCTGCCTTCTCCCTTCTCCTCACTCCACCCGCTGCTGGTTACCGGGACCAAATAGTCCCTGATGCGGGCGTCTGGGGACAAGAACGTCCCTCCTGCCAGAGCTGCAGGCGCAGTCCTGCCTCTTCCATCACTCCGGCCATTGCACGAGGGTGGGCGTCCAGACCTGGGGCCGGAGAAAGCGAACCTGCGGGCGACCCCCTCACCACTCCGCACTCACCCAGGTACACTTGTTTTTGTTTTAACTTTGTTAAGCAGAAAGTTCCACAGTGCCTTTCCCAGTGAGGCCTGCAATCAAAATGTCATCAGCTTGCCTCCTCCGATTTTCCAATCTCTCAGGAAAATTGCTGCTTTTAAAAAAAATAGCAGAACATTTCAACATTATTTCTATGCAGCTGCCCAAAAAGGTGACATTTGCTGAATGTCAGCATTCAGGTATCATTCACATCAGACACTGTGATTTTTTTCTTTTTTAATTTGGGGATTTTACTTTTCTAGTGACAGCTAAGGTTATCACCCACCTACCCAATACCACCAAAAAAAAAAAAAAAAGGCACCAAATCCCTACCTTTGGGTATTGAATAGGGAACTGGGATATACCTCTGGAGACCACGCATGGGATTGCTGTTATGGAGAGCACTGAGTTACTGCTGAAGCAGCCAGCTTTTGTCTTCTATTTTTCATTTATCTTAATTCCCTGGAGACAGAGAGCTGGGAATTCTCTTTGCTAGAGTGGCAGGCTCCTCTCCTGTTTTCCCATCAGCTGCACCACTATTTAATCAAGCGAGCTAATCAACTGTGGAGTTCTTAATGGATGTCAGTAACATTTCCTGTGTTATGATTGATGAATCTAACTTTGGACTTAATGCCTTTGTTCAAAATTAGATACAATAGAATCGAGGTTAATACCTGTTTTAAAAAAGCTACATTATGACAGCTAGTAAAAGTTCTCTCAACAGAATAGCACCACATCGGTGGTAGTAGAGATTATTTCAGGCAGAGCCTGAACTATTTTAATTCTAATAACTACATACATTTTAATATGCATTAATGTTAATCTTCTATTTATGATGATTGATAGTATTTTTTCATTAGGGGTCATGATAAAAATTTCTTTTTTACATGAAAGTGAAAAAAATGAGTTCTCTCCAGGTATGTCTGTGTTGAATAAATAATCCTCTATCCATTTCCTCTTCTGCCAAAAATCAAAACCATTTATTGAGTCATCTTTCTCCTATCTCTTCTACCTCTCCAATCAATTCCCTCCCTTAAAATAAAAGTTAACAATATGCAGACTACCCATAGAGAAGCCCTTAGGAATTGCCCTCCTGCCCTCCAGGAATGCTGAGTGAAATGAGTGTGGAGTTTGTCCACAATGTAGCTTCTGAATATGGGTTTAAATCTAACTATTTCATCCAGAGCCCAGCAAGCACAGGCTTCCTTTACAGTGTCTTATTTGTTCTTTCTTATTTTCTTTCCTTTTTTGATTAACCAACAATGCTTCTTTGTAATAATCTCAAAAGAACATCTTGATAGATTGCAATCATTAAAGGAGTTTTTCCACAGAGAAATGTACTTGAAATGTTCATCAGGTTGAGGGGAGGGGGGCCCTGTGGGAGAGTCGTTAACAGTTATAATAGTAAAAACTAGTAAGACTAAAAACGCTCATTTCAATTCAATGGAGAAAGAATTTCTTTAAATTATTAAGTTCTTAAGACAACAAATTATATTATTGCGCCATAAAATTGAGCAAAATACAGAAGGATCTTCTGCATAATAATAAAGAACCATATTAGCTTGTTTTTTTAAAAAAAAATCTTTCATCAGTCCCTAGAAACAGTAATCTCTTGATAATACAGAAATCCCAACACTTACGCATTTCTATAAATCCTTTCTCAATGTGCATTATTTGAATTTTCTATCACTGTGCACTATAATCTATTTAGGAGTAGGTCTTAATTTGTTGGAGGCTCAATGAGAATTTTTTTTATCTTTTTTAAGTATTGTCACTAATTGTCCCTTGTAGAATTCCTGTGGCTCCCTGGGTAGACACGTGTTCTTAATGGCAACTCAGTCTGATTGTGTAACTTGCTGGTCACTTTCGGCTATTAAAACCATCTCAGGTTGGTCCTTCAGGCTCATTCATGTTGCTGTCAAAGCATCTATTTTACATTAAATTTCAGGCTGGCTTCTTTTCCTACCCTCCTGAATACAGGCTAAAATAACAACCCCAGACCCTGGAGACAGAGGTGGGAAGCACCTGCAGTTTCTTGGTGAAAGGTGGTGAGGTGAAGAAGAGGGAGAGAAAAGGGGACATCGCCTTTTGTGACCCCACCCCCACCCCATGGCTGGGCTGAGCCTTCTCCTTGGCTGACTGCAACCACTCATCTGTTTCTTTGTCTCTGGGCTGGAGGAATTTCAGCTGGGATGCTGGCAGATGCTTCTGACGGGGCTTGACTCCACTCCTTGCCCAACAAGTAAAGCCTCAACTCTGGAATATGAAAGTTAAGCCTCTTTATAATCTGATTCGAAACTCCCTTTCACCTCAACTCCTTCCCCACTCTACTCCACTCCAGGGACCCTATATTTCAAGACGCCTTTGTCAGTTTGCCAAACATGATATGCTGTGTCCTGTCTCCAGATTGATCCATTTTCTTTCTTCCCCCACCCAATTAGATTGCCTTCTGCTCTTCTCAGCTCTCTAAATTCTCATTTATCCACCCAGAGAGCCTTGAGGTGCTTTGGTCATCTAGGCAGATGGGGGCTAGGGATGTTCCTACTTCATCAAGTTCTCTGGGATTCCGAAACAGAGAAGTGTGGCTACAAGATTTAAATCCAAGTGAAAACTGAAATTATCCAAACCTTTCTATTAGTCATCTACACATCTAGGTGATATTTTCGCCCTTACTTTCAGTACTTTCTATAAAGCTGCCATAATTCTTCTATAACTAAAAGACAATTTAAAAATAACAATAAGCCTATTTTAAAAAGCCATCAGGTAACATTTACAATGTATTCCACAAGCCCTGTTATTAACTCTCACATAAGCAATGCTGTTTTCTTAAAACAAATAAATTATAAAAATAAGGCAGCAAAATAAAACTGTTTCACTGAATGCTACTTTCTTGAGAAATACATACAAAAATACTACATACACACTACTTACAAGCATATGCACCGCAAACATACACACGTACACAACGGAATTTCATCAAGAGAGCTTCAATATGTAGTCTTCTCAGTGAATAATGCAAAGTGATACTTCACACCAAAAACAACAAATACATTAATTAGATAATGTAAAACATCATATTTTGTGCCAGAGAATAAAGCAATAGAAATGATTCTATATTTACACATAAGAAACAATGTAATTTTTACAGGAGAGGGGATATTTATAATTGGTTATCTGAAATAGAATTTTCTATTGTGTTCTTTATCTCCCCTCTTCTCTTCAAAATAAACAGCATGTACAGGAATAAGCCAAAGTTTAGGAAGAATGTTTGCTTTAACTGTGTAAGACATTTGTTTCCTTTCTGAAGTGACCTTTGTTTGAGGTTTCAGTGTGCTATATTTGGGGGAAGGGATATAAACTGAAACTTGGGGAAGGGATATAAATTGAAACTTGGTTTGGGCTTTTGCCTTCTTTAGAAAGTTTCACAAAATTTCCATAATGGTCTCCAGGGTGGTGGCTGGGCTGAAGTCTTATGAGAGTCAGCACACAGGCTGAGTAATTGTATTACCTGACACCTGATCAGACCTCCACTGACCTGGGACCCCAGACCTGAGTAGTAGATCTGGTCATGCAGAACCCGACAAATCTCTGTTCTCTGACTCTTAGATTTTCCCTGCTGTGCTACAGGGAGAATCCAGTACTACTTCCATCAAGGCCAAAAGCATCATAGATTTTTTAATTTAATTTAAAATTCAATTTTGTATTTCAGGCAGCGACTTTAGGGAAACATAATGGCTGGATGGATTTATATGAAGCAAGAGAATGATGTAAAATAAACACTGGCTATCATCAACTTCCAGAAAATTACGTTACAGACCTTTTTAAAACAAACAAACAAACAAAAAAAAACACCATCTGAGGTATGAATGTGATCATACGAACCTTCTCAGGACAAGGTCATAGAGCATGCATTCAAAATCTGTATTAAGACACTGTACATAGAATTGTTGAGGCTCTCAACCCCAGATAAATGTCAGGCAGTCTCTTGACATCGTGATTTTGTTCACAAATCAGCTCATGCTGATAAGTGGCTTTATTTAAAACAAACAAACAAACAAAAATCAGATACAAGTCTTTCCTCTGGTGGGAATTTTGATGGTATAGAGCCGACACAGTGTAGTTGGAACTGAAAGTCTGGGAGTCTCTCGTGCTGAGTAGAAGTCCCAGCTCTGACAATAACTACATGCATTATTTAAGGAAAAATCAGCTTCTGTGGGCCTCAACCCTTCATCTGTAATTGGATGAGAATTGAGGGTCTTCAAATCTTTTAAAACTAGTTGAGAAATGCTTTGCTCAAGTGAATCTTATGCAAAGTCCCATAATAAAAAATGGTTATTAGATTGGGATACTCTGGTTGAAGGGAGGAGGTGGGGCAGAGGCCCAGCCATCATGGGAAAACCCTGGGATC